TGAGAGAGTGAGAAGATAAGGTGAACTCCGAGTTCTGCCTAGCATTCAAAGATCAATTGAATTGTAACCTCCTCCAGTTTAGTCTATCATGCTACAAACTGGAATAAATTTCTGGTTTTTGACTCCTTGTGGAATGTTATGTATATCTTTCTTATATTGCTGATTTTTTTTTTAACTAGTCTTATAGCTGTTTGTTTGCATGCTAAAGACCCTCATCAGACTGGAAGCCTATAATGTAATTTCTACCTGTTATCATCTCCTTTATACTGAATGCTCAGTAAATATACGGATGCTTAATTAATGCCCAACATTTTTAATGACCTCCTGAAAAAAAAGAAAATCCATACAGTTAACCATGTGCATGGCACCTTTCAGTAGTCCAAAATGCAACTAGTTGCAAATAGGTGCAGTTTAACTAAAATTTTTTCAAAAAATAGCTTAATTCTAAAAATTCAAAATTAGCAATTGCCAGAAAATATTCATAGGAAGAAATTTTAAATTAAAGTCAGGCCATATTGTTTCCAAATTAAGATGGGAACCTACTATTAAAAATCTTGCACAGATTGAAAATGACTAATCAACATTGGGGAAATGAAATTAGAAGATCTGCCCTTGTTTATGGCTAAAAATGTTTTCATGTTCAATTTCAACAGTGTTGTTCCAGTGTGAAAATTTCAGTGATTAGAATGATTGGATTGAAAAAAAAATAAATAATTTAATTATCCAGTCTCTGCAAGATGATCCTGGGTAAATGCCTTGATTTTTGTCAATCTTCATTTTCAGAGAGGAGTCTGAGATGAGTATCTTAAAGGGTACCAAATTCGAGTGGTATGAAAGTATAGGGCTATGTATTCTTTAGAAAGGTGGAATAGTATGTACAATAAATGAATTAAATGTGCATTTTTTCCATGGGTCTTGATTGCTTTAACCACCTATGAGTCTAAATTTTTTTTTTTTAATTTCAGAGTCAAATTGGAATCTGTAACCTGTCAGTAAATCAGTCTTATCAGTAACTGTTACAGTTAATAGGTGGACATTTATAGCAAACCATACACAAAATAATTATATAAAAAGTTGGATATCTTGAGCTGAATTATAATTCTACTTTATGTGGTCCTTTAGTGATGAATAGGTCTTATATTTTGAAGAACGAAAACTACTCTATGTTGTCCTATGGTAATCAGTCTTACATATTGAACAATGTTTCTAGACTCAAATGCACAAATGAACATTGTTATTTTAACATAGTTACCTTGGGAGGCTGAGCTCCTTTATTTATATCACATTACTTAACCTACTGTTTTGCACTGATGCTGCCCTATTAAATTGGAGATAAAGTCAGGGGATTGTAGAAATCAGGAAACTTTTTTTCCTCAAACACTGGTTTGTTTGTTTTTGTTTGTTTGTTTGTTTTTTTACTTTAAATCACTCATTTTGATTCTGAACGCCAATTATGTCTTACATTTTTTGTTTTCTTTCACATTCGCCTTTTCTTCGTCTTTCTTTCTTCTTTCAGAAAGAACAGAGAATTTAGTGTTGGCGAGACCTGGTTTGGACTTCATTTCCCCTCACTTACTATGACATTTTCTCTCTGCACCTGAGTTTCCCTGTGTGTGTGTGTGTGTGTGTGTGTGTGTGTGTGTGTGTGTGTGAAAATGGATATAATGCCAGTTGTCTAATTCCCCCAGAGAGTGTTTGTTAGACCAAGTAGGAAAACATCAATGCTTGGTAAACCATAAAGCAGTATGCAGATATAGACTTCATGTCTTAATAAGACACAGAATGGTGGGAAAGAACACAGGTTTTAAGCCCAGATTCATCTCTATTCAATTCCTGCATTTGCCACTTACTAGTTTAGTGCAATCTTAGTTTGTAAAATGTATATGTAACATCTAATGACACATCCTTCATGATTGTAATGATGACGTAGGTAACCTTTATAAATCTTTGTGAGATAAACAGGGGTATCTTTTATTCCCATTTCTTCTTAGATGAAACAATTGAAGCCTAACGAATTCAAGTGATTTGTTTAGGGTTATATAGGTAGTCAGTGACATAACCAGAATAAACTTAGTATCAGATGTGAGGGTTTTTTAAGATATATCAGGTAATTTCAAAGAAGGAATTCCATATATGTTTGGAGCACAAAATATTCATTTGAAATATATATATATATGAGATCCATAGAAGGGTTACTTTGAAACATTCAGATTTATTTGTTCTTGTGCATTTCTTTGTTAACCACAAAAATTGACCAGTTACCTTATTTGCAACTCTTAGAGATTTTAAACTGTGGTCTTATGTTAGTGACCTAGAGGAAGGGAAAAACTAATTGGCTACCTTTTCAATTGTAGTGCTAGGTGGCTCATGAGGCCAAAGTATCACTATTACATGTGATGAACAATGAATATTAGAATTGTAAAAATGAGAGTTGATGGCTCCAATCATGTATTAACTCAGGACTTATGGTGGATTTTGCTTCTAATTTCATAAATTCCATTTGTCTGCACTTTTTGCTTTCTGTGTTACATATGACTGGTAATAATATATTTTTTCCCCCTGTGGAAACTTTCTTGATTGTCAGTACATCTTCAAGGGCATAATCACGATATATTAAAAAATAATCATGTAAATTATAATCACTCACATTTTTCAGACTATTGCTAATGATGCTGATTTTCCTTTAAATATTGATTGGTACTTGTCTTGGGATAAGGGTAATCATATCTAACTTGTTTTATTTAATATACTTTTAGTTTAAGTCCAGTTATTGCAAGGCTTGGTATTGATCCCATGACAAGGAAGTAGTTTCTGATTTTACCTGGGAAAAATATTATTTGGTTAAATTATGTTGAACTTCTCAAAAGTTTTAAACAGATGTATAGTGGAAGGTTTTTTTTTTTTTTTTTTTTTTTTTTTTTTTTT